CCCTTTTTTGGCTTCTGATGATTCTTATGCTATATACCCTGTTCTTTAGTATGGTAACTTATGGGCCACATGTCATCTCCAGAGACATTTCATATGGGCCACCTAGTGTTATAAAAATTAGAATTCAAAAATCTTTTGACTGACTGTGCATATCCAGTTGACCACAGACCCCACCACCCCCTGCTTCATTAACCTCCCTTCTGTCACCCCGTCATGCTTCCATTCCCTGTCCAGCCCCACGCAGGCGCTGGCATTGGACTGCTTTCTTGCTAGCTTAGCTGCCTCCCTCTCCCCTTCCTTCTCTGGCCACACTGGCTTTCTTCCAGTTCCTTTGCAGCATGATCATGGGCTCCATGGCAGGAGTGCCAGTGCCAGTGCCCCACCTCCCGTTGCCTCTTCCTCCTTTGTACCTCTCTGTCACCATCTCATCAGGATTCATCAGGACTCAGATTCCTCATGCTTTAAGCTTAGCCTTCCCTGACACCTGACTTCCTGGCACCCTTTCTCCTCTTCACGTATCACTCTTACGGTAACCATATTCTGTCAGTCCTAAAGTTCATCTAATTTTCATAATCTTGCTGGAACTGGTAGGTATCTTGCCAATAAATGGTGACTTACAAATATAATGGTCAGTTAATGGAATTTTATATCTGATGAAGTTGAGTAAATATTTATCTGCTTAATATCTGTCTCTCCCAGTAGATTTTAAGTGTCATGAGGGTGGGGACTGGGAGCTTTCTTATGCCCCTGTATGCTCAGCATCTAGCACCATGCCAGGCATGTTACAGATGCTCAGTCAGCATTTGCAGACTGAATGAATGGACAAGTGTGGGATGGTAAAGTAAGACTTTATTTTATGGATCTTGCATTTGCTTCTCGTAGTGGTTTTTTTTTTTTTTTGGTCCAGATTTTATGAGTTCATGTTTTTCCTTGTCTGTGTCCTTCAAGATGTTAGGAGTGCATCCTCTTCCCTTAATCTTTGTCTTAATAGACAAGTGATTTACTCCATTTAGCACAGTTTCATGAAGAAACCACTTCATCTTTCTGGTCATGTTGGCCACCTCTAGGTCTTGTCTGTATTTTTCTTTGTTGAGATGTGGTGACATAGTGTTTTCTGATTCATTCTCTGCCCATTTCTGATAATTTCTTGTGTTTGGTTGATACCTTTGATTGCCGTAGTGAGGCTGATATTTAGGAAGAATAATCTCCCATATCTTCTAAAAAGTTCTGACTAAAAAAAAAGCTTTAGACCTCTAGAGTCCTAAGGGAATGTGCAGAGATTCTAAAGAACAGTTTAGAGATTAAATATATTTGTTTTTGTGAAAATTATCCACTCATAGCTTTACTTTCTTTTTTCTCTAAAGCATATGCTCAGTTTCACTCAGCAGGATTGAATTTATTTATTCATAAGTACAAAAAAGGAGCATGTCCAAAGTAGAATCAGAGCACAAACGTTGCAACCTATAGCTGGGAAACATTTTATATTTGTTTTTGGGTGTCCAGGAAAAGAAACTGATAAAATGGAGATAATTTTATCCCATCTATTCCCATTTTTACTATTTAAATGCTATTATTGTCATTACATTAACTCAGATTCTATATATCCTGGATTATTAAACAGACTTTTAGATATAGAAATATATTTTATTACCACTTGACATTGATTGTTAAATTTAAAAAAAATCATGGCCCCACAAATTATTTTGTTTTCCTGTAAAGATTATATGACCTTAACTGTTTTAAAACATTAACCAATTAGGGTACTTTCCAGAAGCATAAGCAATAATCTAGTATCTGTACTTAGAATATTATTTGAGTATTTTTCTTAAAGTCATCATAACATTTCTGGTTGGTTTTTCCTGCTTCCATCTTCACTCTGTATTCTTCCCATTGTGCTCTGCTTCCTGTTCACCTGAGATTTCCTGGCTGCAGGATTTAGCACTACCTGTGAGTTTCTCAGTTACTACTGGAAGAACTGATGGGCTTCACCCTGATCTCACAGTGCTGCTGGGTTTCTAATTGAAAATGGACCCATGAATGGCAAAACATCCCTCTTTATCTTTCAGTTCCTCTTTAAAAAGTAACAATTTGTGTGCCATAAAACATTTTTTTAATCTAAAAAATGTCCACAGATTCCATATCGATTACACGTCTGCCTTAGAAGTTCAAATGATACATACATATTTATATACAAAATATAGACTTGTACACAAAATACATATGAATGAATATATATATAGGATAACATATATAGATAACATATATGATTTGATATGTCTGACACATACACTTGTATACAAAACACTGTACTACTTTTATATTTTTGAAACATAACTAGTGAGCAAAGACGAATAGGTGCTTAATTAGAAACAAAATTGCTGGAAATCCGAAAGCTAAAGTCTGTCGCTTTGATGGGTCCATAATTGAACACACGATCCTGAGCAAGTTCCTGGACTTTCTAAGGATTCCGCTTTTGTCATTCGCAATGAGAGAGGGTAGGGTTAGACCAGTGATTCTCAGCCCTCCTTATTTCACATTAGAAGCACTTGGAGAACTTGAAAAAATGAAGGTACTCAGGGTTTACCAAGAGATTCAGTTTTAATATTTTAAAATGTACAGTAACCAGGGTAAAGAGCTGCTGACTTGACGTATGATGGGCTTTTTGTAGGTGACCAAGTGTCTTGATTTTGTTTGCCATGCTAAAATAGGACGGATGAGCTGAGCTCAGAGCCCTGTAGACAGGGCTCTCCTGTTGTTGCATTTGTTGAACATGGGATTCTGCAGAATGCTCCAAGTTAGAGTCTAGATAGCACACTAACCCTGTTTTGTCCTCCATACATGGTGTCTACATGTCCCCTCAACACACAGAGCTTCCTGGCAGTCACAGTCCTTGCCTGTTCCCTTGTTACAGTTAAGAATGCACAAGTCTTCGTGCCAGGCTGCCATCTGTGACTAGGGAAGATGAGAGCTCCCAGTCCCCCATGGTCTTGAACCAGTGGCCAGCAGCCATAGCCTTCATGTTTTTGTGGCTTGCTATTACTGATCTTTTCATGTTTAAAGTTTATTTTATTAGTACATGTTTGTAGTACATAATTGTTCCATTCACTATGGGGAGTACGTACATGTACATATGTTATCTTGAATCTTTTTTTGCCCTTTTTGGTCCTGGGGGTTGAACCTATGGCCTTGCACATGCTAGGCAGGTGCTCTACCACTGAGCTGCGTCTCCAACCACCAATCTTTTTAACAGTCATCCTTTTTAAACTTTTCGGTCTCTGATTTCATTTTCTTGATCACTCTATGACCTTTAATTTCTTCAACCCCTGGAATGACGACCAATAAGTACACTTTTGTACAATACCATAGTTGTTTTCTTTAAAAAAAACTTTTAATCCTATCATGTAGGTTCTAATCACCTTTGGACCTATGGACTTACCAGTGAATACTTGATAAATATTAATACAATAAAAACTTTGAAAAAAGAACAATAAATTTCAAGTATATTAGATTTTCCTCCTCAAAAATATTTCCTGTTTCTAGCTTTTTCTCCACTTCCCTTGTCGCAACGCTGGTTAGAGCCATGTCCCTCCTGCTAGTCTCTTTTTCAGACATAATAAGAATGGTAGCAACTGTTGCTATCAGGCCTTGGGATACACTTTCATTATCATACTTAGAGCCCTGTAAAGGTGGCTGGAAGACAAGGAAACCAGGGCAGCTAGAGCTCCACATCTGCTGAGTGTCCACTGCAGGTCAAGCTCTTTATAAATACTCTCTATTTTGCTCGCTTCGGCAGCACATATATAAATACTCTCTATGCATTCTCATTCAATCCTTGGTGTGACTGTTTTACATTTTACCAACTGCTAAGTCATGATTTTGATATTGCATTCTTGCCCGTAGTCACAAGGCTAGTAAGTAGTGTTTGTCCTACAGGGATTAATTTAAACACAGGGCCTTTGCACTAAGCTACATCCCCAGCCCTTTTTTAATTTTGTTATTTTGAGACAAGACCTGACTAAGCCCCTGAGTTGCCCAGGTTGGGCTCTCACTTGTGATCCTTCTGCTTTAGCGTCCTGAGTGCTGGAATTACAAGTGTGTACCACTGTGTCCAGAGCCCGAGCTGCAGGCACTGTCTCTGTTTCTCTGTTGCCTCCCACTCTTTCTTTATCCACAGCGCCCCAATCTATTAATCAGCCTCTCCCAAGCCTGCCCTGAAAAATGTGTCCTTTTTTCTTGTACTCCTCTGCTCAGAGATAGTCTGTATCTATTTCTTAGGCCTAAAGTCTGTATGTATTTAACTTTTTTTTTTTTTGGTACCAGGGATCGAACTCAGGGACCTTGTGCTTGCAACATAGGCGGCAGAACCACTGAGCTAAATCCCTGCTCCCTGCATTTAACTTTTAAGGCCCTCTGAAGTCTGTCCCTAGCCCCCACCACAAACCCTTATTCCTGCAGTGCAAGAATAAGTGCAGCCTGTCTTGGTTACTGTCCACCAGTATGCCGGGCTACTCCTGTCTTCATGTTCTCATTTCATCTCTCAACCTGTGCCGAATGCTTTTCCTATGCTGGTGGAGGGCTGGACACTCTCCACCCTCTCACTCTGAACCTACCTTCAGGGCACTGCTCAACACACCCTTTCTGAGGGGCACTGCCTTCTCCTGTCCCCTGCTCAGTCCCCACTTGAGCTCCCGGCACATGGGGCATAGTATAGAGTAGAACCCTACTGTGGTGTCTTCTGGATTTCAAGTCATAAATGAACTATGAAGGCAAAGATCATGGCAGAACAATCTTGAGCATATACTAGTTGCTTAATAAATACGCATTGGTTAAATTATTAATTTGCCAGAATAGTGAATTTCTCCTCTGTTACATTTTGAGTCCAGAAAAGAAACACAAAAATTAACAATGTTAATTCGTAAGACTTTTAAAGAGTATGTGTTGCTGTGTTTATTTTAAGGGCTAGTAAATTTGATCTTCTAAAACTCTCGCTGTTCTCCTAGTAAATGTCCCTTCAACGGTCGTGGAAGCCATGTGCCGGCAGGATGCCCTGCAGCCCTTCAACAAGAGCAGCAAACTCACCCCGGCCACCCCGCAGCGCTCCATCGTTTTCCCACAGACTCCGTGCAACAGAAACTTCTCTCTCTTGGATAAGTCTGGGCCCATTGAATCGGGATTTAACCAAATCAACGTGAAAAACCAGCGAGTTCTTGCAAGCCCAACTTCCACAAGCCAGCTGCACTCGGAGTTCAGTGACTGGCACCTCTGGAAATGCGGGCAGTGCTTTAAGACTTTCACCCAGAGGATCCTGCTGCAGATGCACGTGTGCACGCAGAACCCCGACAGGTAACGCCTCCTGCTCACACCATGTGTGCCTGGTGTGAGCGCTGCCTCTGCTGCTCCCTGTGGAGAACCCTGTGCTCAGAGGGTCAGAGTACATGAGGCCACTGCTCACCTCTTGTTTACCAGGGCTGCACAGGCAGGTTGTGGCTGTAGAAAGGAATCTGCACTTGCTATCCAAACACTTTTGTCCGAGTGTAACGGGCAGTAAGAGAGAAGAAACATTTATGAATATCATAGGTGGAGAAATGAGGTTGGGATAATTAGAATCCTCTCTGTCTTCCAAAGATAATATAGCTGGCCTCTCTGCGGCTGTCACAGTCATTTCAGAGTTCACCTCCAGTGTGCCGTGGGTATGAACTTAATTAAGTATTAAGAGGTAATGAATTGGAATTTTTTGCTTAGTACTATTTTTCTTCAGAGCATGCAAACCCATAAATCCTGCAAAGCTGTCAAAAGGAAATACCTACTCTGCTAGTGATGTGGAGGAAAACAGATGCCACTTATTCAATAAACTAATATCCACACAGAAGAAAAATGTTGACTAGATACCTCAGAGTCAAAGTTGGTTTGAGAGTTTGTCAATAAAGAATTTTATGGCCATGAACTGAGGATGAAATTTAGCTGAACAAGTGAATTAAAATTTCAGGTACTCTGATGAGTGGCATAGTAGATATAATAGAACTATTATTTATGAATCAAAACTGGTTTATTTGACAGTCTTGATAGCTGGGAGTGCAAAAGACAAAAATCAAATTAATTCAATAAGAAAAGATTGCTCATGTTTTATCTCTCCACATCCCATGAAAGCTAGATTAAAACCAAAATGCCTAAGAATAGCATTGAAAATGCATTTTGAATATAAAAACAGAAAATACTTTTGGGAACTAGCACTGGAAAGTCAGAAACAGGGTTCTTGAATTCTTTTCTTAATTTTGCCACTGGTCAACCTTAACTAAGCAAGCCACTTAACTCTCTGCTGATTAATATATGCTCAGTTCTTCGCTTCTAGCTTTATAGGATACAAAAGTGTGCCTAGAAAATTCAAACAAGGGAAAGAGGATGAAGGTGTGGTAGAAGAAAATAGATATTCTAAAATAATTTTAGGGCATTTATGTACATTTACATGTGTATTTTTATTTGTGCCATTCTAGAAACTGCTTGCTTATCAAACATTGCTGTAACTAATAATGTTGAAAGATTTACATTAGGACTGTTAAAGGCAGCTGTGTCTTGCAGAAAGTTACCAACAGACCTGTGCACATCTTAGTACTTTGGCTATAGAAGTGTGTTACCTGTGTATGGACTTAAGTGATATATATAGAGGTGAAAATGTTTTCTTCATTCAGGAAATATTTTTTTTAAAGTTTACCTTCCCTGCAAGTATACATGTAGTCTCAAGATAGATCTACTCTAAATTTGCAAAGCATTTTAGCAATTTTTAAAAATATAAACGATGCATTAAAATCTTCTTATAAACTTGCTTTTTTAATTGAGTTCAGATGAATGGATCTATTATTTGCAAAGGTGTGTTAATAGCCATAGTAACTGAACACCCAAAGCAAAATAGAATGATAGTTGAAAGTTTCTGGATATTGGAACTTAAAGCTTAGCTTTGAATATGATATTTCATGCTAAATATCGTAAAAACAATGAAGCTATTTTATGGTAAATATAGAAATACTGAAACAGACTGTTAGAAAATCGTGTTTGTATTTTGGTTACACTGTAACCGTGTCTGTGTCTGTATTATGGTTTAAATCCCTATGAAGTTTGTCCTATAAAATAATAATGTCTTAATTTGTAATACATTCATGAAAATTGTCAGAATTTTTTTTTAAATTAACAAAACTATCAGAAAAATATCTAAAAATTTAGCTCACATGTTTAAACCATGCTGGATCCTGATCAGCTTATCTGACTCTGAGACCCAGGTACAGTCTGGCCTGCCTTCCTAGGTGGGGTGGAGTGATGCATGTTTGTTATCAGGGTTATAGCCAGAGTGGAATCAAGTCACTCAAAGAATGCATTCCCGCTTCTCCCTTCCCTGCACTTTGTTGTGAAGACTTGAGAGGTAGTCACTATCACTAGAAAATAAGTAAAAATTAAGGATTGTGACTTCAAAAAATCAGTCCCTATGTAGGCAAAGTAATAAAGTACGATGTTTTCTTACTAACGGTGTGGAGATGCTTGAATTACACCATCATATCTGAGTTGATTATTGGAAATAAGTGGGACTAGAGGGAGATGCCCAGACACTTTGATCTACTCATTTCATTCTAGATGCTTCATTTTCTTTTAACATCCAGGCCTGAAGTTGCTCTTTTCTGTTCTAGAATCCAGGATGCTCGCTTTTCACCAGAAAGTTTGGAAGTAAAAGATACTCTCCATTATTCTTAATCACATAAGTGAATTGCTAAATGGGAGAAAAATGTACAGAACTACAATGGAACACCAGATTTGCTTATGCTAGTTGCTAAGCTTGGAAGCTTATCTGCTATCAGTGTGGAAACTTCCAGCTGTGAACACACAGACATTCTGTGGTGATTCACTCCATCTTTCACATGGGTTTCAGCCTTTGGCAGCTTGTGCCTGTTCATCCATGCACCACTGTCCCTCAGTGTCTGGGCAGCTGGTTCCAGGTTCCCTGCAGACACCAGAATCCATGCATGCTCAGGAACCTTAGATAATGGGGTAGAATTGCATGTAACCTACCCAGTCTTCCTGTATGCTTTAAATCATCTCTAGAGCCTTATAATACCTACTGTGATATAAATGCTATGTAAATAACTATTGTTCTGTGTTGTTTAGGCATAACGACAGAAGAAGAAGTCTGCATATGTTCAGAACAGAATTTTTTCTGAATAATTTCAGTGTGTAGTTGGTTGAGTGGGCCCATGCAAGACCTGCATGAGTCGAGGGCCGATCGTACAGTGAGGAAGCTCAGCAGTCAGGAGCCATTTCCTCCTGTCTGAAAGACCAAATATTCTTACTTTAATGAGAAAATCTTGCTAGAACCAGGGAGGTATAGAAGACAAAATCAGAAGCTAATCAGGTTAGAATTTCAAACAAGTCCAAGTTTGAAACAGTCCCCTGAATCTGAAATCCAGAAGTTTTTTTCACTCAACAGACTGAATATTTGGCCACGAATCCCCAGACATCACAGCCTTCTTTCATCAAAAAGATGTGTGTGTTTATATTCAGGAGTTTGTTTCTTTGTTTTCTAATGTGAGGAACCATCCAAAGCCTATGCCGTGATATAAAGAAAAGAGATCTGAGGACATAACAGCAATGCTAGCATTTCCATTTCCACCACTAAATTATTCACATTTAGTACAAAACAAAATCTGTTTTTTGGCAAAGCAGGAAATAGCACTGAAGGTGAAAACACACCCATGAGGGTCCAGGAGCCATGGAATTGTTATTTGTTCATCTTGTTCTGTTAATATAGGACAAACAAAATTAAAAAAAAAAAATTTCTGCTTTCTTTTTGCTCAGGCTACTGACATTTTTTCCCTGGGTAAACTCAAAGGGGAGAAGCTGTTGGAATGTAGATCAACCAACATTTTATTTAGAGACTTTGTAAACATTTCAGTTTTTACATAAAGCTCATTGCCTAGGCCAAGGCAGTTTGACTCACTTCTGCTTGAACCAGGAGTTAGAAATCCCTTTTCTGTTTTCCTGCTGCAGAAACTCAACCTTCCCAGGGTGGAGAGCAAATCAAAACCTTCAGTCACAGTGGATTATTCCTGGATAAATATGTTCCTTTAATTTTGACAGAAAGTGTATTTACAATTCATATCTTTATTTTGCATCCTTTTCCTTTTGCTTTCACCTTTTTGATTGTGTGGAGGTGGGCCATTCACTCCCTGGGCCTACCGGTCAGCTGCTCATTGGATAGGATGGTGCTAGAAGGGGAAAATGACATTAAAAGGTGCCTTTTGGTGGAAGGAGCTCAGACATAATCCATTACCATAATCATTTCTTGGAATGTATCAGTGTTTGTATTCCAGTGTTTCTTCTCCCCCTCCCCTGCCCAAATGTGAATATTTCCTCCTTTCTAATTTCCCGTGCTCTGCAGACTTTTTGAATCTGCACTTTTGTCACTTTGCTGAATCTTCTCCTTACATAGAGCCAAGTTCCTTACTCTCTCTACACAGCCAGCAGTGACTTAAGTGGGGTCCCTTTGAAGTCTTAGGAGATTTGCACTTGGGCTGGCTGATGTGAAGTGCGGAGAGAATGTAGCCCGAAATGAACAACTTTTGTCCTGGAGGCTTTCATGCCATGAAAGAAAAATCAAAGAAGGATTAATAATGTGAAACCAAAGCACACTTAATTTTGTTAAATGTTTCATCCTTTTTCTATGTGTACACCAAACCAATTACAGATTCAAAGCAAATGAATTGCACATTTTACTGGCGTAATCTTTGGCAGAGGAGCTGCCAGTGACAGAGAATGCCAGGGATGTACAAAATTGTCTTACTTCTTTCTTTCTGCTTAAACCCTTGGCAGCATTGATAGATGCTAAATTCATCCACATTTTGTCCTCTTTTCAGTCATTTTTAAAAATCAAGTATGGAAAACATTCTAGTTTTTCATCAAGTTTTATGTTTCTGTATTGGAATTAGCTGCGAGAGGCTATTTAAATTTAGTCAAAATTAAGTAAAATAATATTTCTGTTTCTCAAGTCCACTAGCCATGTTCCAAGGGCTCAGCTGCTCTGTGTGGCTGGTGGCTTCTATGCTGGATAACTAAGATTTAGAATGTCTCCGTCATTGGGCAACACTGTTCTGGGTCTCAAGTAGCACCAAGACCACAAGGTGCCTGTGCTTGTGAGATATTAGCCCTCTGTGTTCTCTTTGAGAACAGTGAAATGCTGTATGTGAATGTTAAGTTGGGAGAATAAAGTGCTTTAAAAGGAAATTACAGATGGAAAGATATAAGATCCTGAAAAAGTAAAGCTAAACACAGGCCCACAGGTGTCAGTCCATATGTGCTTTTCTTGCTGTGACACATAAAAGGGAGACAAAATGTTGGAGCTAAGGTAGGTTGTATTCAGAAGTTTAATAAATGATCTTTGGCCAGACTTTGAAAGAATTAATGGAATGTTAGTCATCAGAATAAAAAGCTGAATAGTGGCATCTAATTCTGCTCCCCAAAGTCCCTCCTTTTGCAGTGAGAGAGATGGGGTGTTGTAATAGAAATATATACATGTTCTCTTAATTCTTGTGTCCAGTTATCAGAAAATAAGATTCTGAGGCTCCAGAGTGGCAATAGTGTCTTCTAAAGCTTGGTTAAAAGGATCTGTCTTAAATGTATTTTTGTGTCCTTAGATTAAACCCTTGACATGCTGTCCATTTTAAAATTACTTTTTGTTTATTTTCAAGAAAATATTGAAAATACAGGAAGAGAAAATTTAAAGGAATCTTACCTACTAGCTATGTAACTCCTATATTTTCCAAGGCCAATTTTCTACAAATTTCTAGACTGTGAGAGACACTGTTATAGCACCAAGTGAGGTACTCAGGTTCTAACTTCTACATAAATCAGGCTCCACAAAACTGAATGTGTTCAGATGATCTAATGTCTTATTTTTCAAGGTATCTATGAATGAAGGAATATGGCTTTGCTTTTTAAAATTAACTAAAATGAGGTTTGGGTACTAGACTTTCTTGTTGCTTGAAATTCTCAGCTTTTTACCAATACATTAAAATTTTCTGTATTCTGATGAACATGTATATGTTCTCTCTCTCTCTCTCTCTCTCTCTCTCACACACACACACACACACACACACACACACACACAAAGCTCCATGTCTAGAGAGCTGGCTAGTATACACAACACGAGATGGAGATCATGTTGGCTATGCTGTGTGTTGGACAGATCCTCAGGCCATTCCAAAGGCACGAACAAAGCATGAGGTAATGTGAGAGAGCCTCTGACTCAGTCCAACTCCCTTTCCAGACCAATGAGAAAGCAGAAGAACTCAAGGAAGTTGAGATCCTTTTTTAAGCCCCAAGGCTGATGGGGCTGAGGCTGGAGTAGACTCTCCCTCCTTTCTTGTCTCTCCTGTTCTACACTCTTCTGTCAGCCGAGCTGAATTTTGCAAGTTTTAAAAACCTAAGCTGCATAGATCATAGATTGGATGCCTGTTTGGCTGGTGCTGGGTAAAGGTGATGCTTTAGTGCTTTCATTGGTGTTACCTGGGTGGAAGACTTCTACACAAGCTTCTCTGTGGTTGTTTTTGTTCTTCAGTGTGTAAATCTCTGCCATGGTGACTATTAACACAAGAAGGATGGATTGACTTCTGACTCTGAGAAATAAATCACCCCAACTTTTGACAGCAGAGTTAGAAAAAAAAGAAAAGATTAATTGGTTTTATTTAGTGGCTTATTGTTTATAGTGATAGCTATTAAAAATAGATAACCAGAGGCTAATAAATGTTAATGGTCCCTTCACTATTAGAAAAATCAATTGTCAGTGGATATAGCATATATTAATATATTATTTTGTTTATAATTTTTAATAGCATTTACAAAGTTTATCCCTCAGAGAATTATTTTGTGACGCATCATTTTAAGGTTAACATTTACTACCTGAACAGATTTGGCAGGGAGACATTTTCATCTACATATAATTTTAATGACTTTCAAACCATTATTTTATAATTGTAATAAAATGCATGTACGATTTGTCAGGATTGATAAACTCCTTACCAAAGACTCTTATATATTTCTTTGAAACTTGTTTGAGAGCAGTTAGATAGATTTCTAAATGTAAGTAATTAAAATTGTATAGTATTGAGTTATTGACCAATCCTGGACTATTAATCAAGCTAAAAAATTCTACAATCAGTGCTCAGTGTGCTGAAGCCTGGTAAAATAATAGTATTTGTGTTCAGTGAGGCAAGTAGCCACAATTAAGCACTTCACTTGACAAATGAAAGGGTACACTTTATTTTGCACTTAATTGAATTGTTGTACATGCCCGGTCACCATTGTCTCCTGGCCCTTCATTTTGGTTTCTGGTCATTGGTACTTATGCATTTGTTAAAGGTAGAGCAATTAAGTTTGCTTTTGCCATTGGCTTTCTAAATGTACGCATAAATATCTGGGCTACAAACCAGGGCTTAGTGAGTGCTGTTAATATCCTTCTCGACAGTTTATTAATTTTCTGAACAAAAAATTTGATAAACAAATTAGAGCCCTGTCAGAGAATGATATGAAATAGCTTCGAATAGGGAAACCTCCTCAGATTTTATATCACTCACCAGATTCTGCTCAAGTAAGCAGAAGAACTTCTGTAGAGATGACAGAAATTTAATCTATTTTATGAAAACCAAAAATTGATTTATTTCTCCTGAGCTGGGAAGAATGTGCTCTGATAATCTTGCTAATTATCAGGTATTTGTCACAACTTCCCTCCATTTGCTTTTGCATCACAGTCATTCTTCTGCAGCATAGCGACATCCCATCATTTCTATGCTGCCATAAATCGTTCCTTGCTACCAGATTAAACTGGGGAGCTGAGGTTCAAGGAAAAGACTCAGTGGATAAATATTTGGAGGGGATGGTAAGTAGAAGTAAGGATTTCTTCCACAAAGATACATCTGGGTGCACATTTGTGTTCATGACGCAATACCAGTGGTTGTGGTATAGACCCCAAGAAGGTTTAGTTTTTCTTAAGATATGTGTGCAGTTTGTTCGCATGTCTACATGTTTACCTGATACTTAGAATTAAGATCCAGTCCTAGGATGACCTTGGAATCAACAGCTAATGTCCTGTGAGGCTAGTTTGTCTTCAGTTTTCTGAACTGATAGTACCTGCTTTCCTGGTCTTCTCAGAGGACGGCTGTAAAGATTAAACTAGATAATTGATTTGGAAGCACTTGGAAAGTTAAGAATGCCACAAAAGCATAAGAGACAATTACATATTTTCTCCTGTAACCTTCTGCTTAATCAAGTTTAGGCTTTGAAAGCTTATAAACATACAATAATATTTGCCTAACGGGAGATAAAGACAAGAAGGTTGGGGCTCTTGAAATGGTATGACTAATACTGGAAGGGAGTATTCATTTGAGAATTAATGTGTCTCATCGGTTTTATGATTTTTGCTTTTGTGGCAACAAGTAGTGGGACCCCAGAGGCCCCAGCTCTATGCTCAGTTCTAAAAAGTGAGAATGTCACCAAGAAGTTTTCGCCCCTTGCTTCACAGCTCTGACTTCTCTGACCAGTTGGAAAATAATGATCAGGCAGTCTCTTTATTTGTTTCAGACCCTACCAGTGCGGCCACTGCTCCCAGTCCTTTTCCCAGCCTTCGGAACTGAGGAATCATGTGGTCACTCACTCCAGTGACCGGCCTTTCAAGTGTGGCTACTGTGGTCGTGCCTTTGCTGGGGCCACCACCCTCAACAACCACATCCGAACCCACACTGGAGAGAAGCCCTTCAAGTAAGTAGCAGCCAGCTGCCGCCTTTTTTCTCTTACCCTTTCCTAAGAGCTGGCAGAGCACTGCCCAGCTCAGCCCAGTTGGTGGTGAAGGTTATTTGGAAGGACAGTGTCTCAGCTTCACAAAGCTCTCCTGATTTAGTGACTAATATTTGGGAAATGAAGTCAGGAAACCTGTATACTGGTCCTCGCTCACGTATTGCAACACTGGACAAAAGAATATCTAAGTCTGTTCTCTCAGTAGTCAGTGAAATTAGGAGATATGAGTAAATAATTTTAATATTCTTTCCAGTTCCTGAGGATCTGTGCTTCTAAATTTTATCTAGGAGCCACACAGAATTCTCATGGCTGTAAACAAGTCTTATGGTCATCAAAAGATTGGTTATAAGTTTAGAGCATCTAAATAACCTTCTCTTGGAGAACGTGAACACTTCACGATTCTGGTGAACTATTTCCTCTTCTTTTCTATGTATTAAAGAGTTTGAGGGCTGGGGATTTAGCTCAGTGGTTCCGGCGCCTGCCTCGCAAGCACAAGGTCCTGAGTTCGATCCCTGGTACCAAAAAAAAAAAGAGTTTGAATTTATAGCAGCCAGCTTGTGACTGTTTAGTGTTTACTTTCAATCTCAAAACTGCCATGTTGTTGAAAAAAGAAAAACAAAACCAAACATAGGGCATGCTGACGTTTTGAGGATTCAGGAAATGTGGAAAGATATGAAACTGAATTTTAAGGGTTTTGGGAAGGTAAAGACACCTGAACAAGAAAGTGCATCTCAACATATAGCACAATCACCAAAACAGTGGACACCTGAATCATGCCACATGGCCTATTCATTCGCGGGTTCATTCATTTTTCACTCATTCATGTATGTGTTCATTCATTCAGAAAATATTTATTGAGCACTACTTTTGCCCTGGGCACTCTGCTAGGCACAAGAGATACAAAGGTGATGATCTCAGTTAATGGCAGGAACCCAATTAATAAATAAATATTGCAACATAAAGTGAAAAGCAACAATAAAACATCTATATGCAGTGTTTGAGAGTAGCAGAGAAGTAATCAGTGCTTTATGGGAGAAGATGTTTAAGATGAGTTTTGAAGAATAAGTAGGAGCTCCCAGATAAGCAGGAGAAGGTATTCCTGGTGCTCAGAACAGCATGTGGAAAGGGTGGGGAGGGTGAACCAGTGCATAACAAGCTGGTGGACCCAGAGCAGTTTTTAGTCTCTGTGTGATGAACTCTTTTCCCTTTAACCTTATATATCTCTTCATCTATTCATACTGGCATTGAGAAGGAAGATTTTAAAAGGCGTAGATGTACAGCTTTGTTTACCTTCTGTAGGACAAGATCAAGCAAGAGATGAAAGGATTCAGGCAGTTGCTTGGGCTCAGCCAAGAAGTCGTCTACCCAGAGACTCTGGACTCATTATTTTCCCTCTGGAGATGCACTGGGGCCCTCCTCTGCCCGAGGACAGGTGCAGCTCAGGGTGGCAGAGTCTCACTGATCTGGGCCCTGTTAGCAATGGGAGGAGGTCATAAAAGATTATCATCTTTGCTCACCTCCCCAAGAATTAGTTACCTCTATTTATCATTTTTAACTACTCTTCACATGATTTAATTGATTTTAATAATAAAACAGTATAATTTTTATCTGTGTACATAGGCACAACTTGTTCACTGCATAAGAAGATCTGGATAAGGGGGTAGAATGGGGTCTAAAGTTGGGCCTACAGTATACCAGCCATGCTCCAAGAGAGAAGTTTTCTCAGGCCACTCTGAGAGGTCACCCTTACCTTGGTCTTAGGAGTTTCTTATCCAGTGTTTGTGTCCTGCCTGGTGGCAGCCCTAGGCCCCATGCCCAAAGGATTTCACAGGTTCTGTTTTTCAGCTGGTGGACCCTGACTTCAGCCCCAGGCCCCATGCCCAAAGGGTCTCACAGGTTCTGTTTTTCACTGCTGCTCTGGAGGTAGCAGTGCCAGTGGCACATTTCTTGTGCCTTTGAGTACAAGAGCCTTTCAAAAACAGAGTTGTATGTCCCTTGTATTAGAGAGGGCAGCCAGTGGATATAGTGCCAGGAATGAGATTGATTTTTATCTTGTTTCTGTGTAAATAGATTTTAGTAATTAATTGAAGAGGTTTCAGGGTCAAAGTGGGAAATAGATTTCTATTAATGTTAAGGTGTTACTTATGTGTAACCTCGTTGACTCCACTCAATTTTTTTCTTTAACATTCTGTTTTTGTCATGTTTCCAATAGAACTGCCATCTTAACTTACTTTTAATCCATCAGATTAATATTTGAAGTGGTTGCACCTTTCCCCTTTTCTCACAGTGTTTTTTAAAAATTGGTAACAATACCTAATTTCATCTGGGAAATACAAACAAAATGGAGGTAACCAGGATGGTTGGGGTAGATTCTCTGTGCATGTTGTCCTACTTTATCCAGATAGCCATTGTTGTAATTTTTGTATTTTTTAATTTGTCAAGTATGTATTCCAGGGGAGAGCTGACCATATGCTTATTTTGAAAATGCAAAATTTAAACATCTTCTAGGGAATGGAAAGTTAAATCCTTTAGTATATACAACCAGGTCTTTCAAGACTGAACTATCCCAAGGGAGTTTTGGGAATCTTCCAACCGTAGCTCATGGATATCTAACCCATGGACATTTGTAAATATTATAAAGATAGCCTTTTACAAGCTTATAAAACAAACATTCAAAAAAACTTTTGTTGCATACCAGTCAATAAAAAGGGTTTCATCACAACAGATACTTTTACTACTTCAACTAATGGGTATTGGCTTAAACAATGTTTCAGGGAAGAAGAATCATAAAGATGCTCAGCCTTAGCTGTACACCTAGGACAGCCTCCAACATATGATCCATGGCTCAGTCCTCAGGTTGCTCCTCCCTGCCTCCCACAGCTCAGGAGACCTCAGGGTTCTTGGGTTGGCTGAGACCGAGCCTGCCACATAGGGGGGAAAGCCCTTCCCAGTTCTAAAGTCTTCTGCTCAGAAGTTGGTTTTGGAGGCAGTTCAAGATTACTGGCATCCAAAGAAGGCTGGAGAGATTTGGCATTGATCAGTTAGAATTAATTCCAGGCTTTGCCTCACAATCTGATTAGCTGAAATCCCACTGAAAGTCTCCATCTCCCAGGTTTTAGGTAGATCAGGGGCCTGTTGACAGCTAACCTAGGCTGTGGACTTAAACTTTCTATGATAAAGGAACATGTAGGAAAACTGGAAAAATCTAAGATCAAAACGAAGATCTTGTCTTTCAGTTTGTTTTGTGAGACTGGAAGTCATAGAGAACAAAGAGCAAAAAGCAAGACGTCATTTCATGTAACAGCAAAGACCAAGCAGAAAGGGAGGGATGGAAGGAGGGCAGTTGGCAGTCCAAGGACCCCTCTCTCCGTCTATTACTAATCCGTGGAGGTTTCTGGCGGGGTGCTGTTCTCTGCCTGGAGGACCTATGTGAGCTGCTTTCTGCCTGTATTCTGACCCTGAGAGGCTGTGTGTGGGGGCCAGGACTTTTCCTTGGATGGCTTTTTCATCCTTGTTAGAAGCAAGGGGAAATATTTGCCACTGTGTTTTTGCCTCAAGTAAAGGCAGTTTGGCTCTGTAAAGAAATCAAAGGAAATTCTAAAGGACTTCTAATATTTGAGCAAGATCTAGACAAAATCAGAGCAAATTCAGAGCAAATCAATAAGTATGCACCGAGCATGTCATAGACATGTAGCCCTGTACCATTTGGTTCAATTCAGGAAGTATTTTGTGACATGTTGCAGATGCACAGAAAGCTTCTTGCAGGTTTTCTATGTAGCAGAACTTTACACTGTGTGTTAAGCTCCCTATACATATCATCCAGTTGGCCAGAGTAAAGGAGGATCTGAAACCGAAAAGGAAATCAAGTCTAATTAAAGACTCACACTGGTAGAAAGTTGGGAATTTCCTCTTTGTGGAAATACTTAGAAGACTTTCCACTTGCATGTTCCTGCATCATTCCCTTTGGGACTGACACTGACACCTACATGAAGGGAATGTGTTGAAGAAGACCCCTTGTGCATGAGCTTTTCCTTCCTTCCTCCTGCCTCATTCCTGGCGTCTTTCTCCCCTTCTTATCCTGCTGTAATGCATGAAGTCCAGGCGTAGAGATGCCTGTCCCTGTCACTTTTCTGAGGCTGTAACTCAGGGATAACTAAAAACAGCAATTCACCAAGGTCCAACTTTGACCTCCCAGAACCAGGGTACTTGAACTGAATTAGTTCCATAAAGCTATGAAAATATTTGTGGAAGAGATTTTTCTAAAACTTAAGACTCTGAACATAAAGCCAAGGCCCTTCTCTTATTTTAAAAAAGTTAATATCTAATTGTCTTTAACCTCCTCAAATATACAAATTATATTCTTATAATTGCCAAACCACATATAATTCCCAAACCAGATAGTATTTCTAGTATTCCATTTTCCTCAAGAAGGGAAAATCCTGGGAATAGGATCTAAATTCAGGTAAATGTTTATACATCTGCATGTAATTTTTCTTATACTTAATGAGGAGATAGTACTAAAGATAATTTTTCAGAAGTGATTTTCCCACCAGAAAAATCTGATATATTTTTTTGAAATTTATCTCAAGTATCAGAAAAATTTCCTATTATAATAAACTGCTCTATGCATATAAATACTGTACACAGTTTCTGTGAGACATTTAGGCAGACACTTGAGAAAAATGTAATTCTCCTCTTAATGTCTCCCTCCAATGTGGATATTTAAATGTTACACAGAGACACACACTCTTTTGCTTTACGTGAAGTGCTAAGTGTCCCACTTAGGAATTCTTCATATTCTAATACTCAAGATTAGAAAGGTGGGACCCTGGTAAACTGTTGTTCCTCACACATTTAAACTATTCTGCTCTCTTTGAAATTGATTCTAGAGCTTCAAAATAAAAAGGGAATATAATAATTTGAAAGTTTGTCAAGTAGTGAAAGGTAGTATATTTTGACACACTAATCCAGTAACTAATCAGTTTTCTAATAAACAATCAGCAGTTCGCTAACGTGTCGTCAGCACTCCGGGAGCATGGAGAGGGGATGAGCTGCCTGTGGACAGTAATGAATACACCAGAAATCATTAGGTGATCAATACTTCTGAGTTATTTTCATTGAGCTGATAGGTCTGATAAATTAAAGCTGACATTATACATTTGTCAAGATCACAGTGTAGTTTTTAACAGAACAGGCTGCTTAAAAATATTCTGTGAAAGACAATCTCAGAAACTCAGCTTCTCCCCCTGACACACTGAGCCAGCACAGAAGCCCAGAAAATCCATGCATGTAGCCGAGCTCCAGAGTCCTGACATCTGCAGGCATGCGGTAACCCCTTCGGCAGTGAGCTGTGTTTCTGTAGGTGATTGTGTTTGTGACGGGGACTTCTGTGATTTATAAGGAGGAGAAAGAGCACTGCTTGGCAGAGAGCAGGGCTCTGGCTTCCTCATCTGTGTAGGGCAGTGGTGACTTTCTCTTGTGGCCTGGTCACAGCCCTGGCCATTTAGGGACCTGACAACTGGAGGTGGAATATTTAAGAAAATAATTATCCACAGCTCTTCTGGAATCTTTTCCAGAAATCTCCTCTGGAATCTGAAGGAATCTTTTCCTTCAGAGGTTTGGGGAAAAGACCTTAGGGGATGGCTGAGGTGATCGCTGGGCCCTGACAGATGCTGGCCAACTGCTCCAGGCAGCCGTATGAGCACGGTGGGGACAGAGAAGTCATTTGTGGTGTATGTACAGGCATGACAGTCAGCCAGGAACAACAACAACCACAATAAAACCAGAGCCCCCACCAGATTGGATGTGCTGTTTTTCTGTAGATCGAGTAGGCATAAACACATCCAAAAGGGTCAGGAGGAGACAAGGATGGACTCAGTGCCTCTAGATTGCAACCACCCTTCCTCCTTTCCTCCCTCCCTCCCTTTTTCCTTTCCTTCCTTCCTGCCTTCTAGCCTTCCACACTTCCTGCCGTCCTTTCCTTTTCTTTTTTTGTACCAGGGATCAAACTCGGGACCTTGCACTTGCAAGGTGGGCTACAGAACCACTGAACTAAATCCCTGCCCCAAAGTTGAGTAGAAGTGAACCCCCACCCCCTACCCCCGTATCAGGGATTAAACTCAGGACCACATGTTTGCCAGGCAGTCACAGCACCACTGAGCTAAATCCCTGGCCCTCTTTCCTTTTCTTTTGAATTAAGTAAAGGACATAATCTTGAAGTGTAAAGCCAATTTTCTCTTCTCAGACACATGCACAGTGTTTGTACTGCACTTTTGATAGGGGTGAACCTCTTCAACCACACAAACATTCACTGATTCCCAGTTTTTCTGAGTGCTCCCATCCTGACACAAACCCTACTTTTGTAAGATTGTGTTAGCCTTGTGTTTAGTTGGACTGTGATGCTGTAACTAGCTTTTGCAAAAAATCAGCCACCACACCCACCTCTCATAGCCACTACAAACTAATGCGTTGCTTCCACTCTTCTCCAGATTCCAAAATGATCGTTCTTTGGCTGTTGTGCTGAGGGGAGTAGAATTCTGGGTTTTAAATTAGCAGCAGGTGAAATTCTATTTGTCATCAATTTCTCTTTGGGGTTATGGAGCAGAAAACTGCAGACAAGCTGCTTCTTTGATGGCTCACTCTTAAAAATCTCTTTTTGTTCTTTATCTATTTGAACTGACAGTGATCAGAGCTGCAGCAGGACAGGGCTCTCTGGAGAAATCACCTTCCCCCTGCCTATTGACAGATCCCTCTGTTCTGCATCAGATGGGCTTTGTCCCATCCCAGACATCCAGGGCTTGGAAGGAGCCACCAATTAAACCTCTTGAGCCGGTAAAATCTGAAGTCACTTTGGAGTGTCTGTTCTGATTAGACAGGATGAGAGGAAGCCCATCACCCTGCAGGCCCCGCTCCCTGGTCTCAATTTTCTCTCTTGCCTCCACCAGGTGCGAGAGGTGTGAGAGGAGCTTCACGCAGGCCACCCAGCTGAGCCGACACCAGCGGATGCCCAATGAGTGCAAGCCAATAACCGAGAGCCCAGAATCAATCGAAGTGGATTAACTGATTGACTGGTTGGAATTAAACTGCAAGGAAAGTCATGATTAAATGTCATGGACACTTAAGCAAAACCAAAGATTTCCTCAGAGCAACTTTCAATCAGTCCCAGAAAACCAAAAGCAGTAATAAAATAAGTAAGATGTTAAGAGATATTGATCCTGGCATGGAAGTCAGACCAGGAAAGAGATTATTTATTTATGACTAGGGATGAAACTGATTTCAGTGGACAACTACCCTGGGATGGCTAACATTTCCAGTCCTACCATGTGTTTGCTTTGTTTCTAAAAAGCTTTTTAAAACTGTTATTTAATACCAAAGGGAGGAATTGAATGAGTTCTTCTGCCCACATTTTGACTAAGAATGCACAGGGATTTGGTTCTCGCTGCACCTTTTTTCATAGCATGTTTCGAGGAGACCCATTGTACAGCCCTTCTTCCTGCTGCTTTGGTTTTGATCTGGCCTGATGCTGGCTGCCCTAGCAGGGACCGTGGAAGCAGAAGCGAGCACCTCGCTGTGGCGGTGCCACCTGCAGCCCAAGCGGCTCATTTCAGCACCCTTACTTCATATGTACTTTCATGAGCTCCTTCTGTCCAACAGCCCCATCTCAATGCAGGAAAGCCTGGAAAAGGAAGAAAACCATTTCAGTTTCAAAATTCAAAGGGAAATGTGGGGGACTTCATCCTGTCAGGATTTCAAAAACATTTAAAATGTATGGAGCCTCATAATACAGTATATTGTTCCGAAGCGGCTAGTTGAGAAAATTTTGTTTTCAATAACATTTTAGCTTTAAAAACAAAAAATGGAAATAAAGTTCTCCGGTTTGAGGCTAAATATAAGGTATTAGGCTTCAAGTAATTTTTTGTTGTTTCTGTCCTACTGTTGAGTCCGTGCACAAACTGAGCGCCGAGCCCAGTGCCATCCATGGTCATCTCAGTACAAAGGGCTTCATTTCCTTCCTGTATATGTGGAGCCTGGGCATCCTCTGTAAAATAGTCCAGACAAAGCAACACTGAGAAGAGGAGCCATAGAGAGGGTTGTGGTTAGACCAGACTGCCGATGACCAGCTAGTTTTATCAATAGGAACTGTTTCTCTCCTGAGATTGATTAATCCAAAGAGTTGTGTACACAGTTTCACTGTTCTTTGATTGAGTGTCTTGGAAAGTGAGTTTCACTCCAGCTAGCCTCCTGGTAGGTCAACAGTGGTGCTCAGAGAATTGGGTCATATTCCATGAAATCATCCTGCATCTGGAGGAAACATGGCTCCCACAGCTGTGGGTCCAGCCTCTCAGAAGCTGAGTTTACCTCTATGGCCAGTGGGGATAGTACTCAATTTACTTACAGTGTTTAATAAAAAGTTCTGTTTGTAGGTTTCTTGGTCACTTAATAGCAAGTTACGGCCTTTTAAAGAACTTATCTTTGAGTTCTCCCATTGTCTTCCTTCTGAGAGAGAGAGAGACAGACAGACAGACCGAACTCACTACTGAAAGGCATGGAGCCTGAAGTTCAGATTAATCTATCTCATGTATTGTTCTCTAAAAATCTTCCTTTTCTTTTAATTTTGCTTCTCTATTCCTTAGCATCCAAATGTCACATGTAAAATGGGATAAGATAGGGCCACGTTAATATATTTGTAGTTAAAATAATCTCTAGGATTGTGGGCCACAAAGAAAAATTTGGCTAATTTTGACCCCTGTCTCCCAGTCTCAAGTCATTCACCTAAAGTCTACTCCCCTCTCCCTGTTGGCTCCTTGTCATGACAGTCACATGCAATCTGCGCTGCTGTGGCACTGTTTTTAGTTGGAAGTGTTTTCTCTGGTAGGTAGGAATGTATTATGACCTTACAGTTCCCTGCCCTCTGTTACTGGGACATTTGCCGACAATGTGTGTCACTGGGAAGAGTGGAAAGACTGTGTAGCCACGTTAACCTGACACTCGTAAGAAAATGATAGATCAGCTGTAGAGATGACCAAACTCTTCCATATATTAAGGTTCAAACATTTGGTTGAAATTTTTGAAAAAGATAATAAGGAACTTATCTCTGTGTTCGTAATTTATTTTCAGTGAGAAAAATTAGGTGGGTCATTTGCTTCATTTTCCAGTTGAACAAAAGGTAGCCCACTCATGAACCACAAATGCAGGAATTAGAAGGCTCCACTTCTCCTTGATAGCTGGCATGAGGAGAGTTTATATAACAATGATTTCTGCCACCCTAATGGCTTTGCTTGCTGGTCCCAAACTCCCACTGAATGTGGCAGTAACCTCTACCAAAAGAGTCTTTAGCATTCTGCTCCATTTAAGTCTATTATTTTCTTCTCTATTATTAAGACTTTCACATATATAATTCCACCAAATTTGGTCAGGAAATATTTATTGCTTAACAAATAGAAAATTGGATATTTAATATTTCAAAGCATTTGGGAACTTTCACAATTGCCACCTTACTTATCCATTATCACCTTCCAGCAAAGCAGAGTAGGCCGTCTGTCTATAAGACAAGCCTGCACCTGCAGATTGACATGGAGCCCTGGAGTGTTCCAAATGCTTTTCATCAGTTTGCGTGCTAGGAAGGGAGTTTCTCCTTGAAACCTCTCAACACTAGAAAGGCTTTAGAGTTTCCTACTTAAAATGGATACAGTAAAGGAGTGGCAGGGTTTGCTGTCATAAAGATATACCAGTTTGCTTTACTAGAAACTTCATAACTAATAATGGCATGAAGAGAAGAGAAACTTGGAATCACTGAGGAAAGGGGATCCCGAAGGCAGACGGTGATGGTCAGTTGAATCAGGGTTTGGCTCTCGCAGCAAACCCTCTTTACCCCTTTCTGTCAATGGGGCAGAAGATTGGTTTTTGCTGTGGTTTCCAGAGCAAGACTTTCCATCCTAGCATATGTTTTGAGAAGAATCTAAGCCAAAGGGTAACACTAGATAAAAGTCATAGTGGAAGAGGATGAGGGCTGGGTCTGTAGACCATCACTTTTCTAGAAAAATCTCAGTCATCTAAAAGAAAGCCAAATACTTTGCCCAGGAAATGTGCATTCTCTTTGAATAAGCTTTTCATTTTGGTTCTGTCTTTATCTTTAATATTTACTTTTTCAAGGGACATATGGATAAAGCTGTAAAGCTTAACTTTGTATAACTGATATAATTTGATTCAATTTTTCAGTGCATTTTTATTGAATATTCATTCAAATGTAGCTTGTTAAGAAACTGTAACAAAAGACTGTAATACCACTTTTTTCTTCACATGGTTATAATTTATTGGAATTTACTCTGGAAAAACTTTCTAGTCCACCAATACAATACTTATAAACATTTGCAAACTCATCAATTTTTTCATCAATTGATTGGTTCATTGGTCCATTCATTTAGTCAACAAATATTTACTGAACTCTCATTTTCTGTCAAGACCCCATTGTAGGTGTTTGTCATTATTTAAGTAACTATTGGTAAGAAAATAATATTGTCCTATGTAACCAACTAGAAGCCTGAGTAATTTAGCCCTTTGCACAATTGTCTGAGTGGATTTGTAGAGATTACTACAATTGGAAGAATTTGAGAGATGGAAACTCAAATGGGGATCAAAAGCAATGTCTTTCAAAACAAATTCAGATGCACAACTTGGTTGTCTTTAGTTTGCCCGTCAGACTTTTGGTTCTTTGCCACAACATTAGGAGACCAGGATTAGGGTCAGTGTCTTAAATTTTTATGATCCTCTTTCAGTGATAAGGCAGCAAATGGCAACAGGGCTAGAGTTGCTCTGGGAAGGAAAGCTAAATGGATCCTAAATGGGTCTGAGGCTCCTCCCTAGTGACAAGCCTTGGCAATGCAGCCCCTGTCCCCAGTGTGCAGCTGTGATGCTCTCAGAGGTGGGGCTCCCAAATGGTCTCCTTCAGAAGCACAGTACTTCATTGTACACAGGTCCTTCAGAGAGCACTAGGAGATAGATATTTATCAGTGGCTTAAAAATCACAGTTGTTTGGTTAAGTTCAATATTTTCTTTTCACTGTCAAATTCCTTATGCATTAAAATTAGAGGCTCTATAGTGGCACCATCCTCTCAGGCCATAGGTCTCTGGAACATCATTGCAAAACTAATTGCTACTAACTGTTTAAAAGAAATGCTCAATTGCTTTTCATAGTAGAGATAGCATTACTAACTACATTTGTTTTACACTAATTTTAAAAATCAAATGTAAGTATCTGTTGAGTTCTTTAAAATGGGAAGCACGGCACATCTCACAGAGGAGGATGTTTCCAGAGTGGTATGGGCCAGCGAGTTGCTCTGAGCATACCCAGCAACATTGTGTTTAGGAACAAATCTGTGGCTCTCCTATTAAGATACACATGCCTACAGAAACCAGGCCAGGTTAACAGGCTCCTTGATAGGAATTTAAGCTTGTTTCCCAGAGCCTCACTGATTCCTGACACCAAATCCTGAAAGGTACTGAGATAGGCTTCTTTGAATGATAACAGTAGGTTCCAGAAATGCCATTCCTTTGCCATGATCCTTTCAAGGGAAGAGCTCTGGAGACATTTTACAAAGTGACTAGATGTTTGGGTACTTATCTACCCAAGAGCCTGAGTTTTCTCATCATTAGTATTTATCTAACCTACAACAAAATAACAACACAGAGTCCCAGGAAGAGGCACATATTTCAGCCCTGTGCCAGATTAAATTCTACAGACCCAAAGATCAGCTGTCAGATGCATGGTCAGACAGCCAAACTGAAATATCTCTGGAAGCCTTGCCACAGACACTCAGCTTGTTGTACATTGTTATATTTAACATTTAAAATACTCATTTAGTTTCTTCTTTTAAAATAATGATGTCAAATGGTTCATCAGATCAATATATGAAATGCCAAAACCCAAAAGTACTTTAGAAAACAGGGCAAAGACATGAAACCCTTGTATTGTCTTCCCTATATTCTGAAGATCCCACCATTGTACTTAGAAAAGAATCTGTTGAGTACATTTTAAAGTAAAAATAAACTTGGAGTGCATCTCCTCAGATTTTGATGGAGATGATAATGAATGTAACTTCTATTGCATAATTTCCTTCAAATATTTTTCCAACTGCTTAGCACAGATTATCTAGCTTATCCTTAGGTGCTCTAGAACAGACATACTACCATTATCCCTTTCTCTCCTCATATATACTTAACAGTATCATCTTGGCAGCTGTTTTACTCTGCTCCCAGCAAAAAATTTAATTTTTGGGAAAATGCTTCCCTATGCAAAGCTTCTCTTTGAGAACAAGAACTTTTTAAAATTAACAAACATAGGCATAATTTATAAAACATTTTTATGAAAACAATGCTAAGAGACTCTTAAGCTATGTGTCTTTGTAGTTGTTGATTTTGTAATCTCCAATTTTGTGTTGCTGGGGAGCAGAATTTCAAATATCTCATTGCTGGCAGGCACTTTTTGTTTTTCTAAACATGCAACTAAAATTCCACATTAAAAGAGAAAAAAAAAACCACTTCAAGTGTGTGAAATGCATTAGGAAAAATAGCAACAGGCAGGAAGGGCAGTTATGTTGGAGAGTAGCCAAAAGAGAACTAGGCTCGAACACTATTGACAAGTGAAAACAAATCCTGAATGGGGCTAAGTGAAATCTAGTGCTCTTCCTTTGTTCTGACTGAATGCTGAGTTACTTTTCAGGCATCAATGGAGTAATTATGCAGTTGTGTCCATTAAGAATATGGGCTTATGTTGTTCATCCTCTGCTTTAAATAGTGAGGCAGAAACACTGGACTCATTATAGGTTTGGTTTGTCAAAGGCATAGATATTGCAGTTATATACATGAGGTACTCAAGGAACATGTTCAAGTTTTTCAACATTAGATCAAACTGTGAGGTTTGCTCAAAAAATAAGTGTACAAAATTTCTTTGTGAACTGGATTTATTACCAGGCAGTTCCTGCCTGTGGTACTGAAACCATGGTATCTGTTACCTTCCTTCAGATTCTGATCCTAATAGGCACATTGTGAACACAGTGATTGTGTTTTTCATGTCAATTGAACATGGTGGGCCCCTACTTGGTATTTCCTGTTTCCTGCCTTGCAAAATATCCCTGTTGCTGCCTCCCCACTCCTCCAAAAACTTGGCACATCAGTCCTGAGCTAAAATAATCTTTATATAAATTTACCAAGTTAGAGATACATTTTTATAGCAGAACTCTTTTGTGTTTAAAAAAATCCGGCCACAACAGGTGATTCCCATATGTTAGAGGGGAGCGGCCATTCTAGACCAAACGTCCCCTAACTTTCAGTCCATCTTGGTCCAAACTTAAGCACTGTGTAACGCTAACAGAATCAGCCCTGTAGTCTTGCTTTCTCTGAACAATCCTGCACACGCTCTCAAATTAGTACCAACTTGAAGAGGATGAAAAAACAAAACCAGACAAATTCTACTTGGAACTTCTAGTTACTTTATGAAAGAGGCGTCTTCTCCTTCAAATGCAAGGGCCAAGGTGGTAACTAAAATATGAAAGAAAAATTTGGCTTAGACTAGCAAGGTTACTTAGGAAACCTAATGTTCCCAAGTTAATTGATTTTGTTATGTCAAGGGAAGGCATTCAGCTTTGTAGTGTGCTAATAGAAGTGTGGTGTTTAGGTGCTATCAGGGCATTGTGTAAAGTTCCTTAATATAATTATTTAAATATACTGTAAATGTTTTTCATTGGAATAGAAATATGCCTATCTCTGTCTTCCCACCAAATAAAATGGCCAGGATGAGCTCAATTTCAGTTCTGCTTTCTGAAGTTTGGAAAATGTAAACATACCAGCTAGGAGAGGGAGAAACTCCCTGTGGGTGGCGAGGAGCATGCGGACAGTTTGCTTCAAGGACCAGTGATAAGACAAGAATGACGGCCCTGCAGTTAGAAGGGAAACATTTGCTTATCTCCTTTTTAACTTTATTAAAGTCACCTCTTAAAAAGAAAAAAAAATTGCAAAAAACCAATGAGATCATGCATGCTGCTGTATTCTTGTGATAGAATCTACCAGGATTACATTGTAATTTAAATGAAAAACAGGCACACATTTAGAGATCATTGACCAAGAAATGTAAATACGTTTGATTAATAAAACATTTCTATGATGACTTGATCTGCTTTTGGATCTTTCCAGTTCTATGTTGGCGTTATTTTTTCTTCAGTGCCAGGTCTTGCATGGATGGGCAAGCACTCTGTCAACGAGCTGTGTCCCCAGCCCCATGCTGGTCACTTTTCAAGAACAAACTGTTTCATTCTAATTTGTAGTTTGGGCAGCAGGTAGTCAACGAACATATTGGGGATGCTTTAACTGGAAAATAGAACTAACTAGCAGAAAAGTTGTTCAAATTCAGCCTTGTGGTTTAGTCCAGTATGTTTAAGGCTGTTGTTTTTCTGTCTCTAGTGCTCATTTGCTTGACTGAGTCAAGTCTGTGCTGGCAAACTTGGGCACAAGAGGCCAGCCACAGTCTATGGCAGGGTGGACTTCAAATTTGCTCTCCAGGCCCACAAACACCAGAGAAGAGCAAAATTCTCTTACTACAGGATTGGCCCAGGCCTGTGACCCTTTGAATATGAGGACCAGGAGCTCAGTCAGAAAGGCAAAGACAACTGTTTGTTTTCTCTCTTGTTCTGTTTGAAAATAAAATTCCACTTGACTGAAAACAACACATAAACTTTCAGGAACAGCAAGGAAGACACAGGTTGTGTTACATGGAAAGAGGGGAGATTGTAGGAGGGGAAGCAAAATGGACCACATACAGTTCCAGTGCCATTGTGAGAACTTGATGTCTCCTCTGAGTGAAGTGGGAAAACATCCTGAGCAAGACAGGATGTGTTCTGATTTAACATGATCATTCTGGGTGCTTTGCTGAGGACAGACTGTTGAGGAACATGAGTGGAGGCAGGATAGAGGAGATGTTGCCTAACCCCCAGGATGGTGGGGTTGGAAGTGGCAGAAAGTGCTTAGATTCTGGGCATAGCGAATATGAAACAGGGCTTGCTGATGGACTGCATGTTGGATATAAGATTAGCAGAGGAATAAATGACGACTCAGAGGTTTCTTGGTCTGAGGAACTGGAAAGATAAAGCAGTTGTGCTGCATATTTATACTTCATTTTCAGGTTACTCGTCTTCTTCCTAAGTACCAGGACTATTGCAGTATAATAAATATGAAAATGATCATATTTAGCACAGCAAGCAGCTAGTGACAAGGCTGTGCCCCCCCCCCCCCCAACAATACCCTCCTGAGTGGCCAACTCAGTGGCCTGCCCTGCCTGGGAATGAGAAGCTGAACTTAATTCTGCTGCTTCTGTTACAACACATGGGTAGTCTGTTGCCCGATAATAACATGCAAACCCTTATTGAGGAAGAGCTTACATCACAAGTGAAGAGCTGAGTTTGACATAGTTGTTCTCCATAGTCACGGTGCACGAGTCTCCTTTTGTATGTTCTTTAAGTAAAGGGTGCTCTGAGAATGAATGCAGACTCCTCCTGGCACAGTTCATTTCTCAGTCAGGCCACATGCTCAGCTCAGTGCCTCCTGAGAGGGGCGGGTGTGGGTCCAGGGAGGCGCTGTTGTTGGTTTTCAGTATTCTGGTTGGGATGGTCCTGAGCAGTTTCAATAAGACTTCTAGTTTAAAGACAACTAGTGTTTGTCATTCTTCTATACATCTGCTTAACAACTATTTTTAAACTGCCACGAGCTAAAATGCTTATATACAAAAATAAATAGGACATGGTGGGTAATAAAACCTGGAAGGGAGAAAAAGACATATAATCATTTAAAATATATGGGTAGTAACACTGTGACAGTGGGGCAGATGAGCAGGAGTGATCACTTCTCCGGGAGGGAGTTCAGGCAAAGCCTAAGGAATTGTTCTTTGAGATTTGATTTGAAGTGAACAGAGACGGTGTGTGACTCCCCTACCAAATGGCTATAACAAGGAGCCACCCCTGTGGGCTCATCTGGAAGATCTGCCTCCTGCGTGATGGCCACACAGGTCATCCTTTCCTGGGACACTTGTATATTTGAATCAAATTCTTTTTCTGTTGTTTTTTAAAAACCTTTATCATTGCTGTCAGCCTCATCTGGATACTAGTTTTGCACATGAAAACTAAAGAGTTTCTCAAAGGTCAGCAGCAAACTGATGGTTTGTGGCATTGAGCCAATCTGTGGACAAGTTTATCTTTTTTGAGATAATGGACTTCTTTGGGAATGTTATGGAAAATGGACTGGTCCACAGAAAAGTCTTTTGGATTTCAGGGAAATGGGCCTGGTACCCAAGTTAAGACCCCAGACTCTAAGATCTTAAATTTGGAATGACACCTTTCAGTAGCCAAATAAAACTTCCAAAGATTGAGTGGAGATTAAATTTTTTAAAAATTCTAGTAGATAATAAAATCACATGTATTTGTTCCCTTACAGTGAAGGTTCTAAGTAATGAGAAAAAGAGGTTAATGGGCTCACTCCAAAGTAAGACAGAGTAGGGGAGAAGAGACCAGGAGCTTCTCTCTTGCTCTTTGTGACTTGGTAGGAGAATCATAAAGATACAGAAAGAAACTCACACCAAATCAACAAGTTAGAGTATTTTTTTATGGTTTAAAGGGGTAACACAGTCAAGCAGAGATTTTTTTTGTCCCCATTCTTTATCATCTCAGATTACCTCCTTTCCCATTCCCAAGATCTTAAAAAACAAAACAAAACAAAACTCTGTTTATAGAAATTTTGCGCAATACTACCCAGTTGTAAGGGAATACTATTTTGGAATCCCAGACACAACTGAATACAATTATTTGGTGTCTACCAGGTAAAACAGAAGGAACTTTTAGTCCCAAATGTACCATACATGGGCCGGAGATGTGGCTCAGGGGCGCTGAACCTGCCTGGGAAGTGCAAGGTCATGAATTTGATCCCTAGTACCAGAAAAAAAAAGATAGCAAATGTACCATACTATAAAAGGAAGAATAGTTTTACAGGGCCTTTCTGCTAATTTTCCCTGCTCCAGTCTCAGCCAGTACACACACACACACATTTTTTCACAGTCTATTTTGTTTTAACATCCCTAATGAAAGACTTCTACAGTTTCGTTATTTGTATTCTCTTCTGAGTTTTTACCATGTTCTTTACCATTTGTAGTGTCTTAAAAAGTGCCTCTTCCCCTACAAAAGATGTGTCCACTCAGAGTCTGAATATCACATTAAAGGGGCCCTTACAGATGTAATTAAGGATCTGGAGATCCTCCTAGATTAACCAGGATAGATTACCCTAAATCCAGTGAAAAAGGCCTGTAGAAGACCCAGAAGGAGTGAAGACCCACTGACAGGAGGCCTTGTGAAATGGAGGCACAGGGTGGAGTTACACACCCACAAGCCAAGGATTGTCTGAACTGCTAGAAACTGAAAAAGGCAAGGGACAGCTCTCCCCTAGAGTCTCTGGAGGCAGCGTGACCCTGCTGATGCCTTGACTTAAGGCTCTGGTGCTCCAGAACAGTGGAAGAATAAATTTCTGTTGTTTTAAGGCATGAAATTTGTGAAAATTTGTCACAGCAGTCCTAGAAAACGAACATAGCACTGTAGCTCATAATTTTAACATCTTGCAGATAGTTCATTTAAATCATATTTACATTTAGGATAATTCTTGCCACCAGGATAATTTCACTTCTTCTCGCTCTTGCTGGTCAGTTGGGGTTGCCATGCTGCTTTTGTAGTGCAGAATGACTCTGCAGGGTTCCCTAATGATGGCTCTCTTACATAAGACTACAAGTTCCTGGTCTTACAGAATCTGGGGACAAAGCTCTTTCATAAGCTCTTTCTCAAATACTGACTTTTTAGTGTTCTTGGGCTGCTATAACAAAATATTATAGACGGGGAGGGGGACTCAGCTCATTCTTTTTATAGGCATTAATTCTATTATAGAGCCCCAACTTGACCTCATATGAACTTAATTACTTCTCAAAGTCATACATCCAAATGGAGGATTAGGGCTTCAACATACGAACTGTGGGTGGATGTAAACATTAGGTCCATAACACTGCCATTATTTGCTTTTCAAAATTTGTCTGCAGAGCATATAATGGCAAAAAAAGCACATGTAGCCTACCAAGTTAGATATATTTTTAAAAGTTTTTGTAAGTTTTGAAATAATTTTAAAATTTTACATCAGTTTTTCCCCATGTATACTACAGGAATGATAGTTTTGTAATCTTTCCCCAAGTCGTCCCCCTGAAAGATCATCTCATCATGATTTCGTGATGAATAGGATGACCTATAGGTCTGTTTTCATATCCTGTCACATTCTTTCCATTTTCCTTATTTCTTTTAATTTAGAAACCCTTAATTCCCAATTTTAAATTATTAGCGATGCAGCAGATATTTGATGGCTCTGTGAATGTCATCTACATTCAGGTTAGACACAAAACCAGGAGTTAAGAAGAAAGTTTTCACTGAAAGATTAGTTTTGAGACTTGATCAGACTCTAACTTAAAGAACAGGTACCATTTCAAAGTTGGAAAGTTGACATTTCAACCTGAGAATTAAAGGCAAACTGTTTTCTAATCCACTCTGGTTGCACATGGCTATTGAAGAGATTTCTTCCTATTCTGTTGTTTTTTTTTTTAAACAATTTATTTAACTGAAATGCCATATACTGACTTCCATTTATTTTGATACATCTTGTCCCCAAGGTGATTTAGAGGATCTTCAAGCCAATATAAATGCTTCATAAATGTTTGGCCATTTGAGTATATATCTGCACAATACCTCACATCTTTCAGCAAGAAAAACACTGAAGAGTAAAGACCTGACACAATTAACTGAGTATAATGAGAATCTGCTTCAAATATTTGTTTCTCTGAGGTAAAGGCACCACACACCTGTTCAATTAAGAAAACCATCCTTACAACACAGGATGATTTTTTATTTTGAAGTAGGGATTAGGGCATTCAGCTGCTAATTAGGTGCTGCGTAGTACCTATTCTGTTGTTTATGGTTTTCAAGTGAATCCAATGATACATTGTTGATTTTTTCTCTAAGAAACACTGAAAATGTTGAGTACCAGAAAACCTTGATATATATTTATGTGCCAATTTGGTCTTGTTAGGAAATGGTGGTTTTACA